GTTTAGGATTTAGAGTTCAGGGTTTTTTCGAAGGGTTCTATAAGGAATAGGTGTTCAGGGTGTAGGTTTGTGTGGCTTAGGGTCTAGGATTTCTTTCTGTTTTTGGCGGAATTTAAGATTTTCGTTTCCGGGATTTGAGCATCTAGGGGGTTTGGGGTGTTCGGGGGATTTAGAAATTAAGGGCTCGGGGTCCAGGGCTTTCAGTGTATGGTTCGTGATTTCGAGTCCACGGATAAAACTGTGATCCGGGCGTCCTAGCTTCCTCGGAGGGGGGCTGCAGAATGCTATGGTTCAGGGTTTAGGGTTTAGGCATTCTCAATCCCTTGTAATAACCAGCTACAAACTCTGATACTCCAAAGTTTTATATACACAGAGGAACGCACCAAAAAACCCTTGTAGTGTTAACAACCCCAACCCTAGACCCTAAATCCTNNNCCTAAACCCAAAGCCCCAAAAGCCCTCCTGGACCAAACCCCTAAGTACACTTCAAAGAACCACAAGGAAGCCGTTGAACCCTCAACCCTAGCCTTAAGGGAACCCTCAAATAAGAAGCCCTAAATCCTGAGCCATACACCCCAGCCTTAAAGGAACCCTCAAACAAGAAATCCTAAATCCTGAGCCATAAACCCTAGCTTTAAAGGAACCCTCAAACAAGAAATCCTAAATCCTGAGCCATAAACCCTAGCTTTAAAGGAACCCTCCAACAAGAAACCCTAAATCCTAAGCCATAAACCATAGCTTTGAAAAACAAGAAACCCCCCCAAATCCTAAGCCCTGTAAGCCATAAACCCTAGCATTAAAGGAACCCTTAAACCCTGCACCCTAAACCCTTCGATTCCCAGGCCTGGTGCACGACTTGCTGCGGAATGCGGTTCGGTCGCGGTTTGGTTTGGGGCCTGAAGACGGGTTTGCTTCAGGATTTAGTGTTCATAGGGTTCAGGGCTGAACTACAGGCCCTAAACCCTGAATCCTAAATCCTAAAATCGAGGGCTAAGGGTTTGGGGTTGAGGGTTAGGGTTTTAGTGGTGGGCCTTAAGTCGGGTTCTCTCTTGCACCGTGGGGCTAAGGTATTTGCATGGCGGGCCACTTCTCCGCCACCCGGAACGACGAGCGCATTTGTTGCCCGGCTGCTTACGGCGTGCCAGGCTGGGTTCTTTGTTTTTTATCGGGCTCCATGAGGGTTCTATACCCCCAAAAGCTTAAGCCTTGCACGCTAGCCATGTAATTGGCTCTTCAAAGCAAGGAATTAGGGATCACGTGCGGGAGATTGTTTGATATTTGTCTTGGGGCACCTGGTTATCTGAAACCTCCAAACTCTTACCTGGACCCTAAACTGCCTGCCGCTTGTTTTAAACACATCTGTAAGGAAATCTTAATAATATTTAGGTTTAGGGCTTAGGGTTTAGGGTTCCGGGTTTAGGGTTTCGGGATGCCGACACACTGTTTGGCTAGTCTGCTCTTGCAGAAGGCATCCGGAAACCCAATGAACCCTAAACCCTAAGCCCTAAGCCCTAAGCCCTAAACCCTCAGCCCTAAACCCTAAACCCTAAACCCTGAACTCTATAGTTC